CTTTGATCAAGTAAATTGACTTGTGATCTTAGACAGAAAATTACTGTCAGAAAGAAACTTTTTTTTGGTTCAAATTTGTCTAGATCTAGAGAAATTATCAATGCGAAGATTCTACGGTACGTGAATGCGATATAAGGGCTGCAATGAAAGAATATGCTAAGACTACTAAAATTAAGAATAATTCGAAGTGGTGTTCCGAGGTTGTGACAGGCGACATTCAGACAAAAATTGAGGAAAAATTAGGGTATACACTGGGCAACTGTATTGTGAAGGTACATATCTATTCATTATCCCCAGGTTTGCCTTCTATCAATGGTGCGACGACAAATTAATTGAATTATAGTAACAATGAAAGGGGAACCTGCTTTTAAACGTTGCCAGCAATGGAAAGATATGTAGGTGAAGAAATCGAACAAAACAAAATGTTAGTGAAAAAATAAATGTTATGGGTTGTTAGCACTTTCTCCAAACAGGCTCCCAAATGCCATTTTCAACTCTCTAAAAGCACTAAATTTCAATTTCTTTGGGGGCTTTGCCCCCTGAACCCCCACTGGGACGCTGTCCCTGTACCCTGCTGGGTAGCCCCCGTAGAATTTTCCTTACTTTTCAGCTTCAGCTGATGGAACGGTCAGTATTAAAATTAACAGTTGAATGCAAAGCAGCAAAGCTGGAGCTTTATTACAGAGTGATTGCCAGGCTCCAGGAATCCCAGGGACCCTGTGAATTTGAATAAAATCGTTGAGACACAACAAACAACCCCCGAATTTGAGGACGACGCCAAGTAACCTTGGAAAGACCCAAGAAAATAACTTTTGTTCTCTAAAATTTGAATACTTGTTTTGATGAGGTCAGTAAGTTCAATTTTTACCAGCTTTCCACACTCAGTGAGTAAGTTTCACTCTAATAACCGGTTATGGTGGAAGTTTGGTATCATGTTGAGGCTCAGCAGTCTCGATTTAGAAAATCAAGATCTGCTTTCGTTTTGTTTACCCCCAAGATTCTCCAGTGTTGGGCTGATTATAGTTATAGTCAAGACATATAGTTTGTGTATGATTAACTCAGAAACACCATGATGCAAGGTTCACTGGAGTTCTGGTTAGTCATTCCCTGTCTCCAAGACCAGTCTGTGAAACTGAACTTCCACTGCATGTTCATGTAAGCAAGACAGACATGGGCCTTGTACATAAACAAGTTTTGTAAAGTCAAATGGAAGAGATTGAAATACAGTCGAACCTGTACTTAGGGTTACCTGTATAGGACAATCGCCAATACAAATGGCCACTTCCCATTCTCCCTGGGGGCCAATTTTCTCTTTGGCAATTGGTAGCTGGCTTGAACAATTTTGACTGGTATTTCAAAAGTGTAGATCAAAATCATTTTTTATCATCATCTGTTATGATAAGTAAGTAGGAAATATGCTTTGTCGTTGCACTGGTACAACTTGAGATCTTCCTATTTTACTTTTTTCCTGCATTGAATGTCCACTTTCATATCCTTTCATTTTTTGCCCGTTTCGTTTCTATACTAAGGTGTGCTGGAGGTGCTGTTGGTAGGCCCTATTTCTTTTTTCTTCGCCTTTTGTTGTTTCTGTCTGTCTGTATTACTTTTTACTGCACTTACTGACGTCTGCCTTGTTGTCCCTAAAAACAAAACAAAAATTGTTCAGTCCAGTCAGCTTAATCCTCAATTCAATGTCCAAAATTATCGACCTGTTGAGAAATTTCTTTTTAATCATGTCTCAGAATTCCAGTTGGCTTCTTGGGCTGAAGTAAAATTGTATCTGTAAAAAAATGTTTTAGATAGGGGGCTTTATTTCTAAAAAGATAACAGACTGTAAATTTTTTTCTTTTTTCAGTTACCGAAGCCAGATGCCTCATGGCTGAATCCATTTTTCTGGTGAGTAAGTTTAGTTAGTTTTAGTAAGGTTTTACGGTGCTCGCAACTGCATAAGGTCATATGAGCGGCAAGGGGTGGATGTCAACCGAGAAGTCCAAATGGCGAATCGGCTTACTCTGCTCACCTGTCTAGCCTCAACAGCTCAAAGTCTGCTTCGGCTATCCTGGCACCCCGGAAATATCAATTCACAAGAGAGTGACAAACATACAAAGGAAGTAGAGGGAAATGACGATAGTAAGGATGAGGAAAGAAAAAGCAGCAGTTCCCCCTATGTTGTTCAGGCACAGCATGACATTGATAAATCAGCCCATGTACAATTCTACTCTGCATAAGAACATGTTAATATCCCACCTTTGGGAATGGGCTAAAGACACTCCAGTCAGTAGTTCTGTCCTGGAGGGGGGGGTCTCTGGTGAGTAAGAAAAGTGACAAGTTCAGCATGTTTACTTACCAAAATTACATTAAAATTTAGTAGTTATGTAATAAAATCTAATTTTAAAGCACATTGAGCACTTTCCTAGTGAAAATGTGCTGTATTAATGTAATTTATTATTATTTATTATTATTACAATGAGACTTGTTGATGGAATGCTCGTTACCCTCAGTCATACTGTCATACTTATGGTTTGGCTTTGCGTTGTTTGTGTGTTTGCCAGCTTCATCTTGATGGTGCCGTTTGACAGTGACGACCTGAAGGGCATCGTTTATGTGTGGGTTGGCCGGAGAGCAGACCACAAGGAGGCTCAGATCGCTGAGGAGATCGCTTACATGATGTACAAAGTCAGTGGTCCCTTCGGCACTTTGTCATTATAGTTTACTGGCGTGGGTGGTTGGCAGGTGCTCTAGAGTGGTTTGTTCCTTGTTTCTTATAAAAAGATCTATCTTCCTTGTCTCCCCTTCTTTTTTTCTTTGTATGTTACTCTCTAATAGCACCTCTGATCCTTGGCACCTGAAGCACCTAATTGTTTTGTAGGTGCCGTAAACTCTTGCTAGAACTAAAAATAGTTTGCTGGCTCTTGACAAAGCTACAAGTTTCCTACTACATGGCCATATTTTTGTCTTTAGCCCCTTCATTGCCAGGGAGTGTGTGTTCCTACTGTCGGCACTGATTTTCAGCTAAGCTCGTTAGCCAGGACAGCAGTTTCATGTCTCAGTGCTAGTGAACTCACTGTCTAGACCTATCCCACTCATAAATTATAAACGGACTCGCATCTTCAATAGTGTCACTTTCCTCACTTTCTACCTTCCCCATATTTCTCCATCCTATCTTACCCTTAATTTAGAAAAACTTGCAAATGTAAGGCAAAAAGTGAAATTTGCTGCCTTTTTATGGTTATTTTGGTGTTTACGTTTTGCAAGAGCGTGTTTGTCCTCAAGACCTGTGTTTATCTATCACTTGTGAACTGATCAGTAAATTAACTGGCAAATTTGGTACTCATATGCACATCTTTTTTTACTCCAGAATAGGAATCTACACTGCTTGTGGTTAAGTCTCCGTACAGGAGAATCAGAGTCAACTGGTTAGAGGGACGTACATATAACGTCATTTAGGCAATCAGGAAAGGCTATTAAGTCAAATTCAGTGATGTTCATGGTTATACACAAAGCTAAGAATCACGCATTTTCGTAATGTCTCTTGTATGTTTTAAGGCAACTTAGGGGTTAGTATATGGATTAATGAAAGTGTTTCTTGTGTGTTCCTAGGATGGCTACACTATTCAGATGATCAACGAAGGCGAAGAACCCGAGAACTTCTTTTGGGTTGGCATCGGTGGCCAGAAACCATATGAGCAGGTACATCTTAATGAAGTTAGAAAGTAGTACATCTATTGTCTAACTGTGTGTATGTATGTGTGAGAGAAAGAAAGAGATAGGATGAGAGGAGAGGAGAAGATAGTAGAGACGGGCGGGAAGCGCTTTTTCCTTCCCGAGCGAAAAGACCAACAAGCTGACCTACTTCTCGCCGGGACCGGTACCGGTCCCGAGAAATGGTTCTCGTCTCGTGTCCCGAGAAATGCTTCTTCTCTCGTGTCTCGAGAAATGCTTCTCGTCTCGTAAATGCTTCTCTTCTCGTGTCCCGAGAAATGCTTCTCGTCTCGTGTCTCAAGAAATGCTTCTTGTCTTGTAAATGCTTCTGGTCTCGTGTCCCGAGAAACGCTTCTCGTCTCGTGACCAATTTCTCTTCTCGCCCCGCAGTACGGGAACTTGCTCAGCAAGAAGGCCGGCCGTGGCGGGGATCTAAACTAGGCTAGCCCTGTTGCGCAGGCACAGGTGGTGAAGGAAGGTAGGGAGATCTAGGCCTAGGCCCTGATCAACTCCCCACTTGCCTCGTCTCGCCACCCTCTCCCCTTCCTTTCAGTTTCACACACAGGATGGCACGGTGATGGGTGGCACTGTCTGCATGTCATTTCTCGCCTCTCACTCTCTCACTCTCTGACTCTCATTTCTGTTACTCGTTATGTCAAGCCAACGAGCAGTATCACTTCTCGGTACCGGGCAGTAGTTTAGTGCCCGGGCAGTGACGGGAAGCTCGCGAGAAACAAGTACTTGGATCGTCTCGTGCTCGCCCCTAGAAGATGGAGCTAAATATTGGTTCAAGCTCTCCTTTCTTTGTGCAGGATACAATCAATCTTGATACAAAGTGAATATCTACTGCACAATCAAAGGTGTAAATTTTTCTGAAAATATAAGTCATGGCTTTTTTTCTCTGTGTAACAAGTTCTAAAGCTGTATGTCCTTCAGACTACTGAAATGGTAAAATTTGAATGAACTGGCAAGTATTGTTATGTTGTGGCAGCCTAACTCCCAGTAGTTTATGCAGTACTATATAAATCGTATAAATTTATACGATGGCTGGTGATGTAGTTTTTTTTGCTCATAGAGTACATTAACTTTTATAAATAAAGATTTTTGTAGGTAATTTTATCAAATAAAAATGACTAAAGTGACTTAAAAATATAAAATAGGTATTAAAATTGATGGTTGTATAATAAAATTCAGACTCTAAAATTTTCTGTTTCAAGGGCCATAACCGAGAATTTGTAGAATGCACAAGAACGGCCCTCATTTCTTTATTTACCAACAGAATGAGGTGTCTTTAACACATTGTGACTATGCTCGTTCTTTTAGTGGACTCTTCAAATGTAAACTCTAAATTCTCAAACACTTTTTTCCCCTTTCTTTAAGACTGTTAGAGAAGTGCGATTTCTGTTTTTGTTTCTAGTTTTAGTAACAAGAAAAATAGGTCACACTTCAAGACAGCTTGACAATAATGAAATCTATTGGCTAGGTCTGAAAGACTATCCAATTCCCTTTCAATTTGTATGTAATATGTCTATCTGGAATAGACAGATCATTGCATGAGGCTTGAGGGTATGGAAGACCCATGAAACATAAAAGCCAAAATAGGCAAAACTGCTGGGAGTTAAACCAGAAGGGATTGATAACCATAATTATGCAAATATGTGGTAACATATCAAAATGAGTCGCATATTGCTGTTTGATAAAATAACTCTAACACAGTGGGAATCAAACTTGTTTAAGCCCTGCAAATAGATGAAAACAGTTTTAGTCTTGCTACTTTGGTTCCAAAAGTTATAGTCATTTGAAGTTGGGAGGTACAAACATAGCATTTTCAGAAAATTGCAGTTTTGCCCAGTCTTTGAAAGCTGAGTGTGATGAGCAGCTTATTTTGTCATGTTGCTACACGAATTAATCTTTTACCACTGACTGTCTATTTTCAGGATTGTTCCTTCATGCACTATGCTCGGCTGTTCCGCTGCTCCAATGAGAAAGGTTACTTCACAGTGTCTGAGAAATGTGCCGACTTCTGTCAGGTATACATATTCTAAATTCTGAACTGAAAATGTTGTAATTGCTTTCGATGCTGAAGGTTTACTTCTGTAAATTATTTATACCAATTGTAACAGCCAAAGTTAAGATTAGCAGAGGCACTCATTTTTTAAATTTGAATATCAGTAGCCTGTAAAACATTATTTACGCAAAAAGAATTTCTTAGTACGAAAAGCTCTAACTTTTAACCATTTCAGCGCTTCAGCGTTTCCATCTATATTTGTACACATTAGAATAAATAGTCAAGAGAGATTAAAACAAAGCCATAATTATATTTCCCTTTATTTAGAATAAGTAACTGCACAACAACAGTACATCTTCAAGAATGTCCTCTTTAGACTAGTAGAAAATATTGCAGTGAACTAGTTTGGAAGAACACACGTGAATATAACAAAGCACTGAAGAGGCTAATAGGGCGCATAGCTTATTTGTAGTGCTGTCATCTTAGCATGGGGCATCCTGGTGTAGTGGGGAGGATAACTTATTAGGCTACTTTGGACTGTGAGGTCCTGGTTTGGGTCGGTGGCTTGTTTTAGCAAGAGGAAGTGACTCTGGATAATGTAGGCCCACTTCACTTAAATTGCCTCGTTTCATGTAAAAATTACAGAGTATTTTGACTGAGTATTAAATAACCCGGATTCAACGAGCACTTAAATCAGCGAGCTCGGATTCAATGAGGTTGCTTTCAGGGTGAACAGCAATGGCAGACGTGGCTTCGCTCATTTTTCTCCCACAACGAACTTTATCTATTCCCGGAAACCTTCCATTGCACCTGCATCGTGTACTATTATTCACTTAGCCGATTGCATGCGACCAATCAGTGGCCTTTTTTCATACCAACACATGCGTTGTTGGCACGCGCACGTGTCTACTCTGGCATGTGTCGGGGTCGGATGGGCGGCCTGCACACGTGTGACTGTGTGCGTGTTTTGGGAAGGGGGGTGGGGGTGGGGGGGGGCACCAGCGGTCCGGACATTGAATGTCACAGATACAAACACGTCAGAGTCTTTATTTTCCCCTCGGCAACTGATCATTATTACAATGATAAGCTAGTCTTGACGTAGATCTACGTAATGAATTGTGCCCCGGCAATGGATCTAAAAGTTGTCGTATGCTAGGTTCTACACAGCAACACAACTTTGAGAAGGAATCGGTCTTTTTTTTACACAGCTCATAATATGCAGGCATTTCAGGTACTACTTGCTACTTCTCTTTACACATTATTACTTGCTCAGTGCCTGTAATCACCTACACAAAACCTCATGCTTGCTATAACGAACTTTCGGATTCAACGAGATTTTAGGTCAGGCCCGGCGACCTCGTTGAATCCGAGTTCCACTGTAGAAGGGAAAAATGAGTGTTATTATCTTCTGGCTTACTGCTGTTCTTGGATTAATTGAGTTTGATGTAAATGGACTCTGCTGTAATGGAGCTCTTTGACTTTCACATATTGACTGAATTGAGAAAAGATACTGAAATATTTCTGCTCTCTGTGCGGTAGGATGACCTGGCGGATGATGACGTGATGATTCTAGACAACGGTGAACAAGTCTACCTGTGGGTGGGCAAAAAGACGAGCGACGTGGAGATCAAACTCGCCTTTAAGAGTGCACAGGTGAGGAAGAAGGAAAAGAAAAAGCCTGTATAATTGTTCTGTTTCAAAAAATCTTTCTTCAGGTGATTGCATGTACAAAGCTAAGCATGAGATTGACAGTCACAGATAGCTGCCAACCAGTATGTTAAAAAACGTATATTTAGTAAAAGATGTTTGGGTCTGAGTATGTAAGTACATTTTCTGTGTCAGAAAATATGTATTCTCTGTTTTTCTGTTACTGCTCCACATGGACTTGCTGATGTTGTTGAAAAATTATGAACTTTCAAAACAGGATTTGCGAATGATAATAAGATGATAAGATCAAAGCCTTTAAGTCAATTTTAGAGACCTTTACTAAACATTTCTGACATTATTGTTGCAGAGCAGATCTGCTTGGCATAGTGTGAATTTATCGCATGCAGAAAAGTATGTGTGAAAAGTCTGAAGGTAGGTTACTTGTCCATCTTGATCTGCAGCGTTCTGTATTTTACTTTTGAAAAGTTGGCAGTTGTGGTCACATCATTCACACAGGGGAAGCAAAATGGGCTCATTTGCAAAAGCAAAAAGCAAGCAAGTGCTATCTGGTTGCCGCAGTGCTTTTTGTCAGTGTTACTATTACCCTAATACCCTAATCACTAATCTATTATCAGATAAAATGTGATTGATATTGTGTATGCCGATTCATCCAGTGCAAGAAATCGTTGAAGGGTTCAACTGGTGGGGTCTACATCTTTTTTTTCCCTTGGTTATTTCCGTCTGCCTGTTTGTCCAACCTTTTCCAAGTACTTTTAAATGGAGGTTATAGCGTAGATGTGTTTTGTTCAAACTGAGAATAGATGTGTTTCATTCAAACTGAGAATAGATGTGTTTAATTCAAACTGAGAATAGATGTGTTTTGTTCAAACTGAGTATAGATGTGTTTCATTCAAAATGAGAATAGATGTGTTTCATTCAAACTGAGAATAGATGTGTTTTTGTTCAAACTGAGAATAGATGTGTTTTGTTCAAAGTGAGAATAAGCAACAGCTCAACCACAACTGCTACACATTGGTCTCTACCAATGTTTGTTATGCAGTAATAATTTGATTCTTCGCCATTGCGTGTAGAACATGTGAGTTCTAGTCCTGTGTGTGGAAGGTATATCATCTGGTATCTCCGTCTACTGGAATGCTTCACCTAACTCAGCCTAAGCAAGGTATAACCAGCTCACTTGCTAGTGCCTTAAAAGTCTTACTAAAATTAAGCCCCCCTTCTAATTGCTCTAAATTTGAGGCACAAAACTTTTACCACAATGAAAACCCAGTGTTGATGATGAGGGATGAGCCTAAGTGAAAGGCTCAGAACAGAGCATTTTGGAGCGATTTCATTTTCCTTTGGGAATAATGAAGGGTGACGATGATGATACCTAATGTTTTTTAATATAAAATCGGTCTATCAATTTGCGATCAAAACTTTTCTCCCCATTCTATTAATGATTTTATTATTGAGGTACCTGCTAGAACAAATGACAATGTTCTGAAAGGGCTTGATACAGAACATAGTATGCTTTCTGAGATCAGCAAAAGGAGACTCAAATACTATGGTTACGCGCACAGAACACATAAAAAACTGACCTGATGACACCTGTGTTGTGGGCTTTGGGGGAAAAATAGAGGCAAACCATATGTTGAAAGCATAAAATCCAAACGGTTACCGACAACTTCATGAGATAATACACCAAAGTGGAAACTGAGGCAGATGAAGGCCTGTTGTAGCTGGCTTTGTCTGTCACTAACAGATGAACATGGCCATGGTGACAGGTTCTAGCTAGCTATGCTCAGCTGTTTTTCTCAACTTGTTTTCCATCCCTGTCCTCAGGTGTATATCCAGCACATGCGCAACAAGCAGACAGACAAGCCCCGTAAGCTCCTACTGGCCATGAAGCACAAGGAACATCGCAAGTTCATCAAGTGCTTCCACGGTTGGGGAAAACACAAGGAGGTCAAGGACTTTAAGGCTCTGCTGCCCTCCATCTATTAGTGAACTCTGACACTGGAAGAGACAGATGTTTTACTGTGTGCAAGACTAGTTGTGTGTGGGTGTGTGTGTTTGTGTGTGGGTGAGCTTGGCCAAAAAGAGATTGAGGACTTCAGACTCTACTGGTCACTGTCTAGTTGTCGCTGGTCACAGTGGCTGTTGTTTGTACTATCGCACACGCGCATGTGTATGTGTAGTTTGTAAGAGTAGTCAGAAGAAGGTGGGAGACTTGTAGGGTCTGTTGCTAGCCATCTATTGAGGCCAGTTGTTATGTGTGCTGTGCGTATGTGTGTGTGTTTTATTGGTGTTTTGAACTCTTGTCTGCCTCTGTCTTTTTTGTTGTTGTGATAACAGAGTTGGTAAGAAGAGACAGGGCCCAAGAGGAGAACAATCACTATGCTTTCAAATGTAAGTTTTCCTTATAGCTCTCAAAAATTTTGTGTAAGGCATGGCATCCATGCTGATGTATTAACATCCCTGTTTGTGTGAATGCATAAGGAAATCAAATTTTGTTTTTGTACCGCAGTGGCAGTTTTTTCTTTTGATCTCATGTCTTTGATCAAGTGTTTATTTAAAGAAACGAAATTACTGTTTTTCTGTATGATTTGTAGCTACTTTCATAAGAAGAGAGAGAAAAAGAGGGTAAGGAGGAGAGAGAATTTGTGGATGGTCATATGCTCCTTCCATCCCTGTTTCAGTGTCTCTGTAGTCCTTGTGCACATCAAACTACTTGCTTAACATCAAAGAGTCAATAGTGCTGTCTTAATAAGTCAGAGATCTCCCCCCCCACCCAACTCTGAATCCTTTTTTAAAATTGCTAAATGAAATATTTATTCGTTATTTTGTCGACCCGGCTTCCTTCCTGGACTTTGTTTACCGGCTGGAGTTTTCTAACTTTTTAGCCAAGCTGATTCACGAGTGGCTGTTACTGTTCATCTACGAATGACAAAGTTTGCTCTCAGCTAAATACTTCTTGGGAATTTTATCTGCTTGAATGTTAGTTCATTTGGACTTTGATATCAAGTCAGATTTGTTAATATTCATGATTAAACACAGGTGTTTTTTAAACATTTTCTTAGTTTTTCTAAAATTTCATCCATATGGTTTTGAATTATGGTGTGCAGAACTACCTATTTGAATAGTGTAATTGTGAATACAAGAATCAAAATGATAAAGGCAATATTTCATTGGACTTCTAGCCTTATGATGGGGTTGTGATGGCTTGGATTGTTGCTCGATTATAAGCTGATCCAGAAAGCTTATGTGGAATTATTTGAAGTCTTTTTTCTTGAAGGTCTTTGAGGTAAAATGCTAACTACAAAGATGGCTAAATTAAGCCACTTGAAAAGCTGTCTAAACTCATCTCCTCTACAAATTATGGATGTCTGTAAAAGTCACATACGGCATCAGTGACTGTAAATTTTATATGTCAGAAATGCTATGTGTGAATATGCTAGGTGGTTATGACTTTGTTTGATGAGAGTGCAAAGCAGACTTTTTGTGTTAGGAAAACTTTAATGAAGCTTTTATACTTTGTTTTTAGATGAACCAAACTGTGATATTTCTTCTCCTATTGTATAGTTTCTTGTTGTAATTAGACATGAACCTGTCACAACATTGTCATGACACGCATTTTAAATACTCATGTATTGTAGCTAATAACGGGAACAGACTTGGTGATAGCTCTACCACAGGCCTGGCCAATGCCAGTCTCTTACGATCAGTTTGTGATGATATCTTAAACATTTGCCAGCAAATGTGTGTTGGTAGGACAAAGGGTTGGTTGTTGTTTCGTTTTTCTCTTGACTAACTTGTTCATTGAAGTGGTGCTGCTTTTAAGCTTTTTTCTTTGAATGATATGATATGAGCCTTATTGATAACTTCATGTACTTAGTCAAAAAGGAAAAATTGTGCAAATGTCTGGAGAAAATGACTGGAATAGTTTGAGAAAATTGCACAAATGTCTTGAGAAGGCTGAAGCAAGATCGAGCAGGTAGAGGAAGAGAGAAACTATGGATGTGTCTATAATTTGTATGAGTGTTCAGTTATAGCATGGGTGAATGGTACATCTATACTTCAGTGCAGTGTTGTTTGAGCTGTACTGTAAAACAGTTTTGACTATGTGTTTGTATGCTCATGTTTGTTCTGCTGTGCCAAATTTGCAATTCCCAGCATTGCTGTGCTCCCCCCCCCCCCCCCCGACAAGTGTAATTGCCCCCCCTCCCCCCTTCAAACTATGTGCACTTGGAGTTTCTTTTGTCAGCTCTGATTCAGTCATAACTTTTGATTAAAATGCTTTTTGCCTCACCCAGACTTGATGGAGTCGGGTTTGCCAAAAATGTGTCGGACAGACTGAAGTAACAAAATGTTCCTTCCTTCACCTGTGTACATTGGCCACGCCTTTGCTGTGTTCTGCTCACTGTAAGCACCACTAGACTACACTACCCTACTTACCATATTATTTGAAGGCCTAGGAGTTGAGCGGCGGAAAGTTTTGTATCATCCCATGTGTTCCTAGGATTTACTCAAATATTCACCAAAAATAAACATACTTTTCCAGCCTATTATTATATGCTTCACTCGCTATGTTTTTCCCCCTTTAGTTTTATTTCTTTGTGCTGGAGTCTTATCTGTTGCTGCTGCTATTATTTATGGTGCAATAGTGGTTGTCCTCATCGCCTTGCACCAAAAAAAAAAAAAGACGACCATGAGATTGTCGCTGTATGTGCAGTATGTATCTTTCTCAGTTTGGGTTGACTCAAGCAAAATAGCCTGCCTTGTGAGTGGTCTAAATTGTGGTAATGGGGTTTTAGTGTTAGACATAAAATATTATTCAGATTGGGAGTATTAATCATAAGAGGAAATAAAGAATGATTCATAATTCAAAGTACACACGTACATGTACAGTGTATCACTGCTGTTTATCATTGTTGGAAAATCTTGCTGTATAAAAAGATTAAATTGTTATTTATAAAGGGTTAGCTCCCCCATCTGTACAATTTGGATCATTAAGTAGGTACCACAAGGAAAAAATTCAGTCGCCTAAAAGTAGATTTTCCTTATTAAATCAGAAGGAGCTGTAGAAAGGATGAAATTCATTAACTTATTGAAATTGGACAATAAAAAATGTTATCATGTTTCAAATTTATTTAAAATGTAGAAAATTTATTAATGTTGATGATAAAAATAGAAAACCATTTGCACAAAATTATATCACAACATGGCATAGTTATAGACCAATATGTACAAGTTACTTATAAAATAATGTAGACCGAGATCGTAAAAAGGGATGTACATATGACAATGTATGGATTATACTCAACACTGGGAGTGTAACAACCGACATAACAACCTTCTAAAGAAATTTTGATGACAAAAATAGAAAGCTCTCAGTCTTACCAGCATCTCACACACAGCTAGACTTGGTTACAGCCTACATGTACACGTTGCTTGTAAAATTCATATATACATTATAATACATGTATATCACATTGTAAGGACCAACATAAATATTTTAACAACCTTGGTCTACACTTAAAACTCTTTAAAGTCTGTCTGTGGGAGGGTGTTCTTCGTTGATCCCAACAGAAGGGACAAGGATTCCTTCGTCAGAAGATCGACCTGCTTGTTTCTTCGGATGCCCAAATGGCCTGGCAGCCATGCAAACACGGTATTTTTTCCCTGTTCACTTAAGAAATGTATCCTCAAATGCAACTTTACTACTTTCGGGTGTAAGATTGTAGGATTTGTAAATGAGGTGGAGCAGGAAAAAGAATTAAACAGAATAAGAAAAGGTGTTTTAGGAGAATTTTTTACGGAATCCAATACCATGTCAATGGCAGTGGCCTCTGCAGAAAAAAAATAGAGGCTTTGGGATGGATCCTCCGCTGGTGAATATTCTTTGTGGACAGGGCGGAGGCGCCCACAGCTGAGCCGATTCAGAGCCATCTGTAAAGATTTGCACTGCATCGAGGTAATATTTAGATAAGTCTTTTTTGTTTTGTTTGAGGCTTTGAATGTTTTTGTGTTTGTGCATGATTTGTCAGCTACCAGCTTGCCCAACTCCTCAAACGTCCTGACAGCCCCATTAAGACCAAAGCCAAGCTCATGAACTCCATCGTCATCCCCACCTTCCCCTTGGAACATAAGATAACCACCTGCGAGATGAAATGTCTAAGGAGAGCCAGATGGCACCTGATCCGAAAAAAATAGGACCAGAGAAATGATGGGAACAACACCTGACCTTCACTACATTCAGAGGCAAAAAATAAGGTTCTTTAGACTTCTGACACCTCACCAGCTTCCCAGTAAAGCGTGCTATTAAAGCCTAACAGAGTACAAGCAAGAGGAAGACCAAGGGAGACCTAGATCGAGGTTGTGAAGGATACCCTGAAAACAAACAACCCACCCAGCCAGACTATCCAACTTGCAAGAGACGAAATAAAGCTCTTTCTCCCCTCCACGCCCTAGATTTACAAGAAGAGGAATAAGTAAGTAATTAAAGTAAGCACGGTTTGTTGTGTATGGTGAGTTCTAAGTCTACTTTTGCCTTGGTGAGGTGCCACTGAGGGAGGTCGCGGAAAAGAAAATGTTCCTTGTCTTTTTTGGATGTCTATGTTTATGTCTATGTCCTATCGGAGACGGACGTTAAACTAGGAGGTCCCGCCCCTTGTTCTTCTTCTCGATCGCATCACACTTAAAGTCTGGTATCTGTCATAAATTGGGCCGTCCTGCTCAGTTCATCTGTCGGCCCGTATAGCTTCTCTTGTAGCGTCAGTGGGGTTGGCCACGTTTCCTGTCTCAGGGCCCTGTGTGTCTTGCAGTGCTGAAGGATGTGTTCAACAGTTTGGTCCGCCTCTCCACACTGTCATTTTGGTGATTGTACTAGTTTAAAACATTTGTACATATGTTGTCTGTCCCACCCCTTAAATAACATAATAGTGTTGATAGGGGCGTTAACCCATACCATATCATTTTCAAGGACTCTGACGCCAAAATGTTTGATGAGTTTGTTGTCTAATAGGAGTTATGAGGGAGGAGTGATGGGCTCTGTCTTTTCCCTGGAGAGACCCCGGGGCGGAGGGTCGGAGGTGTCATCTTCCATAGAGAGGGGGCGTCTTCTGGAGGGGTAGGGAGAGGTGGAGCCCTAGGAGGGGGCTGGGGTGGGAAGAAGGGGGGGGGGCATATACTCCCTCAGAGGGATGGGTTGTGAAGCGGTAGAAGAAGGGTCAAAAAGGGGGGGGGGGGTTCCACTCCGTTCTCTCCTAGAACCCCAAAGCGATAAGCAAGTGACAGCTCAAAGGTGGTGGGTGCCAGAGGGGTAGAAGGGACCTTTTAAGTCTTTAGAGACTAGTACAGCTTTGGGTTTGTTGACCGTAAGCGGGGTGAGGTCGGCAGTGGAAGTACTGGCAAACCTCGTGACTGGCTGGACTACCTTTGCATATGACCGGCCAGGGACCGGAGTCGCGACTGGCGGCAGGCAATTATTGTGAGGTTCCTAAAAGGAGCAAACATTTCGAGCTTTGTATCCCTGAATGGTGCGTTCTTGGATCCAAGTCGGGCACTCCTTGCTGAAGGCTGTGTGCTGGCCCTGGGAATTTGGGCAGCATGGACTTGCCTTGCATTCCTTTTTAGGATGTCTGGTCCTGCCACAGCGAGGACACACGGCTATGTGTGGGCATTGCAACTGGCTATGGCCAAACTTCTTTTGACATCTGAAAAAGCGAGGATTGCACCAGAGGACAGCTTCTGGACGTCTGTAGGAATGTATCCCACAGCATGTCATAGTGCATCATCAGTTTTGAAAAGGTTTAATCTGACATCTTCTGCGCACCGTTGCCTGCGCATGGTCAAGTACGGCTGCTTCGGAAGCTCCCTGGGAGGAAGGAGGGAAGAAGCAGCGGTAACCTTTTTGCTGTAGGCGTTGGTTTGCTCATCCGGGCGGCCGCACCTGTTTCCGCGAGCCGAGACCTTTTTTAAAAAGACTTTGGGAGCAGGAAAATGGTCCTTTGATTGTTTTTGTTATTTATACGGCTCCGGGGCTACCCGCCCACCACCGAGCCCAGCAAGGGGACACGCTGCTCGTATAACCAGAGCTGTGCCAGGGCTACCCCGGAGTTATACCCTTCACGGAAGTGTAGTAGACTCTTCCGTTAAGATTGGCCAAAGGACAAACTGAAGGGGTTTCAGCTCCCAACCGATTGGGTAGTATGGGCGGTGCCACCCTCCCGTCAAAGGGAAGAGTTTGGGCCAAAGATGTGTATTGGTGAGGGACAACCTGCGGACTGATGTCACCTGAACCACCAGGTACCCAGTTTCTCGTACCTAATGGTCAGCGATGCGCCCACTCTGGGGGATGGACGACTTCTAGTTTTGCTGCACGTGTAGTCAGCGATGGAAGAAGAGACAGAAGAATAAAGAAAGAAGGAAGGAGAAGATGAAGATACACAAAAGAAGACGTCGCATATTAATGGGAGATAATTTTTGTCTCGTGAATTTTTTCTTGAATTTAGTGTCCAGACAGAAAACCTATCACCAAGTCGTATCAGTGGTGCCAATTAATTAGAAAGGGGACACATTTTTATTTTGACCTGTTATTAAAAGAGCCACGTGACACATTTGAACAAACAATGATGATTCGACTTGAGGAAAAGACTCGGTCAGCTTCTACGAATCTGCGTTTAAAGAAAACAAACAAGCAAAAACACATATTATTATGACGAACCAGTGGCGGGGCGCCATTGGTGCAAGTGCTCCACATAACCCTGGCCTTCACCCCCCCCACCCCTTTTCTAATTGTTCTAAACCAGTCAGTTCTCAAGATCTACATACATGTATTAGCCTGCATCCTTGCGACCCGTCACCCGCTGGCTGCGCGCGCGCCAGTGAAGAGACAAACAGCGAGGAGGGTTTATGCTCGTCGCACCGCTTGCGATACTGTCTGCTGGGAGCAACCAAAATCTTTGCACCAAAGTTATTTTTGTCACTGTAGAGAAATCTAGGCATCGTTCTTCCCGCACAAGAAGAGAGGTGCGTGAAACTCCTCTTCGGAGCACCAATTTGGTGCAAGCTAAAAATTTGATCCAAGTTACCGCTAGCCTACTATCTACTACACTAGAAGAGTCTACTGTAACTCAATGAAGAATGGGTATCGAAACTGTTGTCGCCCCTCTATTGTGTAGTAAGTCCTGTTACGGTAAATTTTCAAATTGAGTCTGGTTGTTGGTGCTGCACGAAGTAATTAGAAATCTTTAAATCTTCTCAGATTGTGAGCATAGTGAGTTGTTAGTATTGTTTCATTTTATTTAAGTTTTTATGCGGTTTCATCTGGAAACAGTTATAAATATCGATAGATGTAGATTACGAAATATCCTGCGGATTCTAACTGACTTTCTCCAGAAATTTAGATGAATCACGTTGACCCTTTGCTTCTTGTGCTATTCAGCAAGCTACAGTTGGAAGAGAAAGTGCGCATAAAAGAGCTTGGTCCTCGTCAGCCGCGGGATTTGGAGCTAAAAAAATGTTCACTCTTTTCCTGTACGTAGTATGATAAGTAGAAATTGTACTG